GTGGTTTTGTTTTTGTTAGGAGTGAAGGAGGGGACTCAAACATGAGTGCTCCACCCCGCCCCCACCCCCCCAAAGACCTCTGGCCCCGACCCCCGCCCCTGCGCAACCCTGCTCAGAGCAGTCAGGAGCCTCCCCAGGCCTCTGCGGACCACGGAGGAGCAGCCCAGTTGCAGCATGTTAACTACGATGATTATCTTTGACATTATTAACGTTATTATTATTTCTACCCCCCGCCTTCTCTAGGGGCGCTGCGCTTCCTTTTATTCCCCAAGGGCCCCTGGCTTAGCCTCAAGGACCAAGAATGTCGGGCTCTGGGAGATTCAGCGAGAAGGAAGCTGTGGCACAAAGTAGGAAAAGTCAGCCCTTCCACCCCTCAATCCTGTTTAACTGAGAGGTGAGGGAGTCACACACAGCGGAACCCAGGCCTATCTATCACCCATCACTTACCCTTCATCTGCTGGTGCATCCAGCCTAAACTCCCAACTAAGCCCACTGTCCGTCGAGTTCATTCTGACTCAGAGCGACCCTTGGGACAAAGTAGAACGACACCCCGGGATTTCCTAGGGTGGCTAGAAATCCTTACGGACGCCGACTGCCTCCTCTTTCCCCTGGAGCGGCTCCTGGTTCAACCCATGGCCTTATCAGCCTAGCATTTTTTGCCAGCGCGCCGCCAGGCTCTGGCCCAGCATGAAACCTCCAATACCAAGTTGAACCTAGCACAGGGCCGGCTCCTTTCCGGGGCCCCCCTGGGAGGGGGGAGGGGGACCGTAGCTAGGAGAAGCAGAGGGGTGAAGGGAGCATCTTCGGGTTGGCGCCCCACCTTCCCTTGGCCCCTGCCCCGTCGTCGCAATGCTTCCTTCCTACCCTAGAGAGCCTGTAGCTGAAGCCACGTGATGTATGTGTGCGTGTATGTGAGTGTGTTGAGGTGGTGTGTGTGTGTGTGTGTGTGCGCGCGCGCATGTACGCGCAAGGACGCGAGTGAAAGGGTGCTACCAATTCCTGCTCAATTTCATCCCAAATGGCCAGGCGGAAGGGCTCAGGACTAGAATGAAACCGAGCAGAAGGCGAATGAACCTTGGGTGCGACTCCTCACTTCGCCTTTGGGGAACAAAACAGAAACGTGGGAGAGCAACGAGGTGGCCCCAGCACGGATGGTCCAGGCCCTGAGTCCTGTGGGACTCAGGGATGCAGAGGCGTAGGGGAGGGGGGAGGGGAGAACCTCGTGGCCCGGGCTGGGGACCTGCACTGCCCGGGCACAGGGGTGGGAGGGGTGGGAGGAGGGGGAGCGTGAACGCCCCGGGCCCTCTTCGCCCAGCAGCCTTGATCGTGAACTCGGACCCTCAGGTTACTTCGGTTATGATTTACCCAAGTCTTCCTTTGTAACAACCCGTTTACAGGGCCACTGCTACCTTTTCGTTCCTAATAGCTGCTCGGCCTGAGTCTTGATGCCGACCACTGGATCTGCCTGAAAGGACTGAGATGCTTCCCCCCAATAAAAACCCAGCAACAAGCGGCTGGGCGCGGTAGAGGAGAGGAGAGGACGACTCCCCCACCCCACCCCCAGCCTGTGTTCTGAGCTGGCAGTTAAAAATAGAAACTATTCATTGGGGTCTGCTGTGGGTAGCAATAGACAGAGGCGCTCCACGTTTCTGAGGAGCCTGAACCATATCAGACTATAATCAATCAATCCCCAAGTATTTACTGAACGCCTACTTTGGCTCACTTTCTGGGGCATGTCTCCCTTTTAAGAAAAACACACCCAAGGGTTCACCCAAGTCTTGGTGGGATGTTATTGTTAGTTTCTTGGATGTTATCCGAAGACCGTGGGCTGCCCAGTGGGGCCTGATGTGGGGGAGGGTCGGACCTGGGTTCCTCCGGGGTGCCTGGGGTGTCCCGCAGGCTCCTGAACACCTCTATGTGCTGGCCCAGTGTGAGAGAGTGCAAGATTTCCTGGCCAGGCCAGGGATGCGGGAGAGCGTCCCAGGACCCAGGGAAACCTGAGCCTCCGGTCCAGCCTCTGATCTGCCCTTGATCTCAGAGTTTTGTGTGGAAAATAATACCACTTGAGACTGAAAACATCCGTCTGAAAAACAGACAAAGGGGCTAGGGGGTTAGGGAGGAGGAGGAGGAGGAAGACAGAAGGTGCGGGAAGAAAGAAAGGGGGCCGGGACAGAGTGGGGCTGGGGAGGTTGGGCCTGGGACCTGTTTCCTTGACTCTTGTTCTTCCAGGGCTCTGCCTAGCCATCTCTGGTCGCCGGCTCCCATGGCCGAATAGACGCCACATCTGCTCCAGGAAGGACCCCTTCTTCCGGCCCTGGACTGCAGAGGGCTGCCCAGAACTGAGCGAAGCTGATATCAATGCCAGTTATTATTGTGGTCATTAATAATGCAGTGAGGATCGCAATAATTAATAATGATGATGGTTCTCCCGAGGGGGCTCCAGCTGCCGCAGGATAAAGCGACTCTTTGGCGAGGAGGGGGGTTTACTAGGTGGTAGGTGAGCAGTGCGAAGGGAGTGGGCTTGGACGCGCTGAAGTTCAAGTTGACTGGCGCTGGCTGGCGGAGACCGTCCAGAGCCACAGCTCTGCTCTGGGTTCCCCAGGGAGGCAAAGGCCACCTACATGCTCCAGGTTCAATGCTGCAAGGGCAGGTTAGAGGTGAGCTCCGTTCAGGCAGGGGCGGCAGGGAGGGGGTCCGCCTGCATCCACACCCCCGGGCGCTGAAGGCCTTGCACACCCCCAGGCGCTGAAGGCCTAGCAGCGCCGATGGCTCCGAGAAGTCCTGGAGTCCTAGCGCTCTAAATAGTTCAATTCTAACATTTTTAATACACGTTTCCCATCCCTCTCTGGCTCTCCCCGCCTCCCTCCTCATTCTGTCCCTGGAGTTTGAAGAGCTTAAGAGAAAGGCCAAAGGACGACTGGACCACTTCCCCCGCGCGCCCC